CTAGATGCCCACATGCTTAGTTCATGGATTATTATCTTCTTGCGAAATAGCAATGAAGGATGTATTTTGTATGATTTTAAAGAGTATGATGAAACATTGTTTATGTTTGAATTTGAAGCGTTTGAATCTCACAGAAGATAGGTTGTAGAATAGTGCAGATGGTCTCAATTTAGACCAGTATGGTATTGATTATATGCATCTAAGACACACGGTGCTAACTGTTTCTGTTTTATTCCCAATAAAGGTTTTATTTCAAATCTCACAATTCAGCGTCAGTTCTTCCCAAATGAAGAAGATGAGACGGGAGCTGCCAAAGCATTAATGCGCTTGCAGGACACATACAAGCTGGACACTGAAATGATTTCGAAAGGAGAATTTCCAGGTAACAGTGGGAAGCTACTTGCCAGCTTTAATACATATATTGTTCCTCTGCATTTTGGTTCCTATTTAATCAAACAACAAATTATTTTCTGGATAGTGTCTCATCTTAAACACAGATTCTGGCAGTACAGTGCGAGTTTCTGGGCATGTCTAGAGTTGCAATTAGCCATATAAAGCCCTTGTTTGATTTTAGGAAAGCCTATTCAACTAAATGTGTAGCTCCTACCTTGGCTCCTGTGCTGGCACATGAAAAGATTGTGCGTTCAAATCTAAAGCACCATTACAAAGCTACAGAACCAGGTCTGCAGCTATAGAAGGCTCATGCTCTTGTTACGGGACTTGCTGTGATTTAGGTGTTTCAAATAAAGACACACAGTCTGCTTGCCTGGGTAAATTCTGCTCACTAATGCAAAACACAGTTTTTCTGCTTTGAACTGGCATTCTGGTTCGATATTTTTGTACTAGAGGCCATTTTAAGGTCACCACATAGCATTTCTCTTCCCCTACTCATACTGATGTCCACAAACTTTTCAGGCAGAATAGAAAGTTGGCAAGCTGTGTCTTAACATTCCAGTGAACACTGGGGTGCACATGCCTTTTAAAGCTTTTTTCAGCATGAAAAGTCGCTCACACAGATTGTAGATAGAAGCTTAATCTGTTTACGGGCTTTTTATTTAAATTGTTCAGATGCGACATTTGTATCAAAACCACCTCAAGGAAGCTTCCAAACACAAAAATATTATTTTGAACAGCAACCTTCAGTGCCGTGGAACATGAATAATACCAATATTTAGGCTTCAATCATACCGGCTTGGGATTCATTTCTTTTGTACACATTAATTAGTTTATGGGAAAATAAAAACTTAAACAAGAATTTTAATATTCATTGCTGTAATTGATAAACCCCAACAACAGTAGTTTTGATCATCGATGAATGTTTCATGTTAACCTCAATTCATTATTTTAAAATAATGATTATCATTATTACAGCTTTGACTGGATTTTTAGTACTACTTGTGTCTCCCGTTTTTGTGTTTTCCATTTCTCAGAGTGGCTTAGAGTCTTTAATTGTATACTTATTAGTTTTAATATTGCCTTTGAATGACGTAAGATGCCTCTTTACTCTTTGTTCTTAGCTTTAAATACTGTGTTTTAAATACGTTAACCACCGTTGTATATTCATTGTTTTAAACTTTAAATTTTGTCTTTCACTGTTTAAGTTGCCTTGGGTCCTTTTCAAGGAGAAAAGAGGGGTAAAAATATTTCAAATAAATAAATAAATATTTTTATCTCAATTCTTTACTGGATTTTTTTGACTTTCAGAATATTTTTAATCAATGATTTAAATTATTTCAAAAATTTATTACATAATTTTTCTGAACAGGTTAATGTTAACAAAACTGTGTTCAGTGATCCAGGACTGGTGTGTTAATGCTAACACTAATGTTTCCAAAATGGACTAGACCCTATCTTCCCTGCTGTGCATCAAGCAAAGTGTCTAATCTGAGAGATAATATGTTTGTTGACTTTTTCTGACTCTGAAATCCAACTCTAGCTTTCATGGAGAGATGTAAAGTCCTTCTCCTCCAAGGAAAACTGAATGTCATCCTGATCTTGAACTCTGACTCAGCCTAAACCTACACACAGAGATTGTTGTTCTATGTATCCCAATTGAGGAACTTGGAAGAGGGAGAAGACAGAAAGATGATAAACCTATGTAGTGTTAGCAAAAATTTTACTGCCTTTGCAGTGGTTTAAAATCAGTTGCACAGTGAAGTTGTTATGTAGATGTGCCACATTGCTCTTACCTCATTTGTGTGTTTGGATCTGAAACTCATGCAGTGGAGATATGCCACACTCACAGAATCCTGTGGCTAAGCCTCATAAGCCTTGTGGTGCAGTGCTTGAACTGCATGCAGTACTACAGTGAAGACTTGCTCATGACCAGATTTAGATCCCAGACCAGGTAGGTGGCTCGAGGCAGCCTTCCATCCTTCTAAAGTTAGTAAATTGAGTATCCAGCTTGCTGGCATGAGTGTATAGGGGGAACTGTGTAGCTTCCATAATTACATTGTAAGTGTTCTTTAAGCACAATGGGACAGTATGTAAACTTTGCTTTAGGGAGATCATAGGTTTGAAGACACTTTGCTTTAGGGAGATCATAGGTTTGAAAGGGGCTTCAGATCACTTAGCCTTTGCAATCAGCTGTTGCTTCTGTATCTTTAAAATATGGGAAGGGGGAGCTTGCCAAGAAAATTTTGAGAGGGAGGAATTTGGTTCTGAAATCTGGTTTGAATTTTCTTTTTCCTTTCCATTACTCATATTAATGCCAGTGAATGTCAAAAAGGATTACGGGTTTGAGTTTTTTCAGATTATTTGCTTTATGCATTCATGCAGATATTCACATCATCAAAGAACTTGGGGAGGGAAATTATATTCTCTCACATGAGATGCTAATTTTTTTCACTTAATGGCAGAAAAAAAGAGAGAAGAGGGAAAATGCATATTGCCTCCCCCAGTCCTTTCAGGTTTTGGTGCTCACCTAGTAATTTAAAGAGTGGCTTGGGAAACTGGAGTGCAGGATCATATTCTGGATGAAATGAGCAGGACTCACCCAAAAATGATCCTCTGACAATCCTCCCCCACCCTCAGAGTGCAAGACTGCAGGTGTTGTTGCTTTGACTTATATACCACCCCATAGTGCTAGAGCAGTTATCTATGTAATTATGCAAGGAACAATTTGCCCCTCCCCCCACCAAGCTGGTACTCATTTTAATGACCTCAGAAGGATGGAACGCTTGAATCTGTTGGGATCTAACTCGGATTGTGAACAGAGGCTTGACTCCAGGACTGCAGTTTAACCACTAAACCATGGTTCTCTCTGAGTAAGAATTCTGTTGCTTGGAGTACCCTGAATAGACAGGTAGTAAAATTGTACTTATAGAAAGAATATGCAGGCCAAGGTCAACAATTTGTAATAAATAGTCAACAGAAATGGCAACAGTCTGAAGGGAGAAACACAGGGGACAATAATACGGTCTAGGTTACTCACAGCATGGCGGTGAGGAATCCAGCAGGGATTGGCAAGTGCACAGTCAAGCTGTGTTCAACATTTTGTTTCTAGACACTGGACATGAGTGAAATAGGATTTTATGTGGTGCTCCTGCGAGGAACCAAACCAAAGGCTCGGATGTGAGCCATGAAGGATTAGGTCTTCATGGGAGCAGGGGCTTACTTGTTCAGAGGCTCATTCCTCTTTGAGAAGAACCTGCTCATGAGAAGGCCTCTTCTGAAGCTTTGCACTCCATATGAGGACCTTGTGCCTAGCATAGGCCTTCATTGTTCTTGGGAAGGAGGGTGGAGAGACCCAGATCCTCTTCTGAGTTTGCCTTCCTCCCTTGAGGAGATAGGACATCGTGTACCCCAGAGGACTCAGGGCCTTTGGGATTCATAGGTTTTATCTCTGGTGGCTTCACCTTGTCCTTGATCAAGGGGATCCTCTAGCAAAGATGAAACCTTCTCTAGTTATGAACCATGTGTACATATGGCACAGCGTTTGTATATGCTGCTGGTGTTCCAACGCACCATAAACATAAAGACACATCACAGTCCATTGGACAACTGAATAAAAGTCAAAGATCATACTTTGACTTGGTTTTAGAGGTATTCCATGGACACTTCACAGTCCATTGGACAACTGAATAAAAGTGATTAGATACTGAAGGTGACTTCAGTGTTCAAAGCGGAAGTGTTATGTTTTTAATATTCAGGTCCTTACTATTTTCATTTCCATCAATTCAGGAACAAAATATAGATCAGTTCTGACAGTGGAAGACTGCTTTGGCATGGGCAAAACTGCTTACAGTGATGGAGATTATTACCACACTGTGCTGTGGATGGAGCAGGCATTGAAACAGCATGACGAAGGTGAAGAGACAACCGTCACCAAAGTGGAGATCCTGGATTATCTCAGCTATGCCATCTTCCAGCTTGGTGATATACGCAGAGCTATGGAACTCACCAGACGGTTGGTTTCCCTGGGTAAGAAGGAGCAGTCATTGATTATTTTAGTGTCTTGAAAAGTGCCTGCAGCTCCAGTACTCTTATATTTATGGAGAAACCATATGAGCACTGTGTTCTGGTTTTTGCGTTCTACAAACACAGTTTGACTGAACCCCATCCCAGTTCCCTGCATCTTTGAAGCAGCACAGAAATTGGGTGGAATAGGGAGATCTACGTGACCCAAGCATTATGTCATTTTGCATTCTGGGAATTGTAAAAAAAAAATAAAAAATTCTGAACTCTTAATACAGTGCTTAAGAAAAGCACCCACTGGATAGCTCAGTTAGGTATCTAACTGTGGAACCAGATGTTGGAGTTAGATTCCCCACTTTGCCTCCCTGACTCTAGGGAACTAGACTTGATCCATAGGGTCCCTTCCAGCTCTGCAGTTCTAAGATGATGAAGATAATGATTGTCTACTTAGCCAACTCCTTCTCTCCTTTAAACATTCCCAGTTAAATTGATCATTTATAGACATTTCAACAACCCATTCTCTTATTGTAATATTAAAGTCTTAAAAATTTTTTTTGCACAGACTGTTCTCAGTGCAGTTAATGTAACCAATACTTATAATATTTTAAATATTGGTTAATTGATTTATGTCACATTAAATCAAACTGTAAAGGATTCAGATTGGTTATATGTTCAGGAATTTGAGATATAAAGATTGATGTTTAAGGCTAGTATGTCTTTGTGTCTTGATACTGCCACCACATATGATAAATGTTGGTACTAAGTGTTGTACATTTCCAGAAATGCACATCATTAACTGAGATTATCCAAGCTTTTATTGTATATTTCTGTGCTGAATGCATTACTTTGTACGGCTCCTTTCCTTTTCTGTATTTGGTGTCACAAAAGCCAACATTCCCCCCCCCCTTATTGCTACATCCAGAAATCTGATGTTGATTGCAATGATAACATACTGATTTTAATTTTAAGTTGAAATATGGAAAAACTACTTTATAGGACTGTTGACAGAAATAATTTTAAATAAATCTAGTTAGCCCAATTCTAAAGTGTTTTCTAGAAGTAATGTCACAATATCCTGGAAGCATCCTTTAAAGCAAAGATACACTCTCTGTAATGAATACAGATTGATGTCGATTATCATAGTGAAACAGTTCATCAACGTTTTTCCCATTTTTATTTTTGGTTTGTTTCAGACAGACTCAAGATCGAAACTGCAGTTGATTCCAGAAAACTATGATTCTGTATTTTTAAAAACTAGCAGAGCTAGGGAAAGAAAAGGACAAATCAGTCTATCAGTTTTTGTGTTCAGAGGCCAAGTGCTTGATCTGGGTTAGATCAGCCACAAACATTATAGGACTGTTAATTGGCTTGAAGGTTTCCTCTGCCTGTTTCCTCTGCCTGTATTCATAGGATCCTGCAGCTTATATTTTTCTCACACACATTTTCTTTCTTAACTAAGATCCCAGTCACGAGAGAGCAGGCAACAACATGCGGTATTTTGAGAAGCTGTTGGAAAGTGAGAAAGAAGTGCAGTCCTTGAATGAGACTTCAGATTCAACAGAGCCAAAAACATCTGGTGGGATTTATGACAGGCCACAGGACTATCTGCCAGAGCGCGACATCTATGAGGCCCTGTGCAGAGGAGAAGGTGTGAAAATGGTGAGAAGGAATCACAGCATCAAAATCATCTGGATCATCTGACAGTAGTTCCTCTGGGAATGCAATCTGCAAATGGGTTGGCACTTAATCACTTCTGACGTGAAAAGGTAGACAGGCAGTTTCAGATGTACTGGATATCATAAGGTGCTTTTTTTAGTGACATTGTTCTTCATCAATAAATTATGACCAAGCAAAACAGTTCAATCTTTTCTCCTCTCCATATCTAAAAGTGTTGTTTCCGTTTCCAAACATTTCCCTTTGCCTAATAACTTATCTGTTATTATAAGCTCAAGTGCCTTAATTAGCCATTCTGCTATTGTTGGTTTCGGCAGAGGCCATTTGAACAGTATTCCTGCATACTGATGCATTAGAGCTATCCCTCGCAACTTTGTTTTATTAGCAAATTTCAGAATAATTCCTTCCACCCATTCTTCAGATATTAAAAAGATGCACATTAATGTTTAATTTTTAAAACAACCTTTGTGTACATATGATGATGGTAAAATTGTTACATTTGTAACAGTCAAACTGTTAAAGGGCTACTTTAGCATAATAGGTTGCAGTTAGAATAGGCCCACTTAAATCAGTGGCTCTTATCACTATGCTAAGCAGGAGGATTTTGACCAGTGAGTGCTCTCTTGGTACAATTTTCCAATCACCTTTAAATCCACCTCTGCTTAATGAACATTATCTTCCTGTCAATTAAATGTATCTTTGTCACAGATGCTATTCCATCTCTTCCATAGAGTTACATGAATGGTCTTGCATATATTCTCTTAAGATAAAATTCCACATTTAAACTATTTGGATTTGTTGGCAGACACCCCGGAGACAGAAGAGGCTGTTTTGTAGGTATCATAATGGAAACCGAAATCCCCACCTACTTATAGCACCGTTTAAAGAAGAAGATGAATGGGATAGCCCTCACATAGTCAGATACTACGATGTCTTATCTGATGAAGAAATAGAGAAGATTAAGGAGCTGGCTAAACCTAAAGTAAGTGTTCTTTCCCTTCAGTCAACAGTTGCGGTTTCATCATTTGTATTAGTTAATATAAATGATCAACTTAGGGTTGGGCTACTTGCTACCTTCCAGAGTTTCTGGACTACACCTTCCAAAATCCGTCACCCTTGACTATAGGTTGTCCAGAGCTGATGGGGGTTGCAGTTCAGCAACATCTGGAAGGTCACAAGTTGTGAAGCCAGAGTTTGACATGTAATTATAACAGTCAGCCCAAGGCAGCATATGCAGCTCTACTGCCCCGCTCTTTTATATTGAACAACACTGGCCAAAATCCTGTTACTAAATCATCAGTTAACAAGATTTTAGTTGCTGTGAGGTATGTCAGCTATAGAGACTGTTCATGGGAAAGTAGGGATTTGAACCCATGTCTCTTATATCATACTCAAACACACTTAGCCACTATGTCATATTGGCTGTTCTGTTTTGGGCATAATTTTATTAGTTATAATGAAAAATTGTCTTAGTTTGCTATGCATGGACTTATGTTTATTGATTCATTTGTCCATTTCTTCATTCATTTATTCCATTTGTACCTCACCTTTCCATGAAAACATAGTGTTCAAGGTAGCTTACAAATGCTTTGAAATAATAAAAAGAGGTGAAATCACTAGAGATGGGCACAAATTGGTAAAAACAATTTGTTGTAATTTATAATTTTATGAGATCAACAAAACACACATTTATGCATTTTTTCTAACAAATCAACAAACTGATTCATTGATTCATCTTGAATTTAAAACCCTATAAAATGGGATCCCCAAGTACACTGGAGACACCAAAATTGCAGAATCTACCATCCCTCCAAGACTGGTAAAGATTGGGTTTTAGACATATGCATTATACACCCACAAAGTAGGTCCCCTAGAAAAGTGCCCTTTAGCATCTGGGTTGAGGGAAACAAATCAAAAATACCAAAAAATTAATTGATTCATATTCATCAAGGGTATTGCTTCTGATGTATACAAATTGATAAATTAGCCATTTTTGATTATGGTTGTTGTGGGTTTTTCGGGCTCTTTGGCGATGTTCTGAAGGTTGTTCTTCTTAACCTTCAGAACACGGCCAAAGAACCCGAAAACCTCACAACAACCATTAGGTACTGCTCTGAGGGATGCTACAAGCCCAAGGCCGTGGTGTTGAACAATGTTCCCAAAACATAGTGTTTGTGTATGTCCTGACAGGATGAATTGGAACTATTGCATCCCAATATCTAACAGGTTAACTATAGTACTGAAAGGTCAAGAAGAACTAATGAGATAGTGCTCCATTTACCCAGTCCCTGGTGTTGGTCTACCAAGGCAAGCAAAGCATTTTAGTCCCGTATCCTGGACAAAATGAACCCAGATAATCAGTATCATCCACTGTCTATTAGACCCGTTGTCCTAAATTCTTCTTCATGGTCTCTGCGACCATGTGGGCACCTTGCAGGTGATCATTTGTATCATTCCAGAGCTGAGCACCTTAAATGGGAAACCCCACACCACCTCCCAACCGCACATGGCCAAGCTCACCTTAGCTCAGTCTTGTCAGTTGCTTTTTAGTCCATTGCAAGAGCAATTTCACTGGGAACATCACTGAATGTTTCATTTATCTTTTTACCCTTTTTCTTTTTTCCCCTACTATACATGACCCTCCTTTCCTCCATTTCTTCTTTTCTGTCCGACTCTTCATATTTATTTATTATATTTATATCCCACCCATCTAGTCGTTCAACTAATCTGGGCGGCGTACAAAATAATTAAAATATGACCCCATGGACCAGAGCATGCCAGGCCCTCCTGTCTTCCACTGCCTCCCAGCACCATCTGCAGTGATCATGGAGCCCAAGAAAGCAAAATCTGTTACTGCCTCCATATCTTCCCCTTCTGTTTGCCAGGAGGTGATGGGACCAGTGGTCATGATCTTCGTTTTTTTTATGTTGAGCTTCAGACCATTTTTGACGCTCTCCTCTTTCAGCCTTATTAAGAGGTTCTTTAATTCCTCCTCACTTTCTGCTATCGGAGTGGTATTATTTGCATATCTGAGGTTATTATTTCTTCCGGTAGTCTTAATTCCGGTTTGGGATTCCTCCAGTCCAGCCTTTCACATGATGTGTTCTGCATATAAGTTAAATTTGGCCTCTATGGCCGTATTTTAAAAATAATGTGCTGAATGCAGAGGGAAGATCACTCTGACTGACAACCATTCAGAGCGCCTGTTCTGTCTTAGTGAGGTCCATCATTGCTAAGCGACACAATATAGAATGACTGCCCTGGACTAATGATGTGTGCTTGGATGTTTTATTCATTACAATGTGTGCAACCTAATGAAAAACTAAAATGAAAGATATATACATTCGTCATCTAGTCGTTTAGTTGTTTCCAACTCTTCGTGACCCCATGGACCAGAGCATGCCAGGCCGTCCTATTTTCCACTGCCTCCCAGAGTTCAGTCAAATTCATTCTGGTAGCTTCGATGACACTGTCCAACCATCTCATCTTCTGTCGTCCCCTTCTCCTCTTGCCGTCACACTTTCCTAACATCAAGGTCTTTTCCAAGGAGTCTTCTCTTCTCATGAGATGGCCAAAGTATTGGAGCCTCAGCTTCAGGATCTGTCCTTCCAGTGAGCGCTCAGGGTTGATTTCCTTCAGAATGGATAGGTTTGTTCTCCTTGCAGTCCAGGGGACTCTCAGGAGCCTCCTCCAGCACCACAATTCAAAAGGCTCTTTTATAATGAACAACTTCCTTTTCTTCTTCTTGACATTTCTCCCCTTTCTCTACCATAGTTACAACAGTTACAGTCATAGTGCTTGTTTGTTTTGTCTTTCCTTGAGTACAGTACTTGAGTCACTCTAATTTGAAACAAAAACTGAATTCCTTTGAACATATGAAGCATTCCCTCCCTTTCTATTCCTCTGCAGCGTTGATGAGATCAGAAGATTCCGTTTCCAGTTAACCACAGATCACCGTGACTCCTAACAGGCTCCCAGTAAAGTGTGATTATTCTTAAATATGGTTTAGGGAAGTAAGCCAACTTCATATACCACATTTTGAAACTGAGTAATTTTCCTACACCATACTTTAGATTAATCATAGGACATGCTGTGTGCATTCAGATATGAAATTATGGAATTCAGTGAATAATGCCAGGAGGCATCGGGGACAGGGCAACAAGCAAGGGCAGGGTGCAGGTGGGCCCTATTGAATGTGGCTGTGATGAAGGACAGCCACAAAGCTCACAATGTTCAAGACTGTTCTGTGGGACATCCTGCAGCAGTGGAGTCTATCTACAGAAAGGCAAAGTTTTGTTTGTCACAGATGATGGGGCAAACGTGGGAAGATGAAAGGGTGCAGTGTACGGCCTTTACAGGGTATGGAAGGCACATGCATACTTAATATAATTGAGTGGGCCAGAGATGTTGCAGGGCATTTTCATTGCAACGTCTGGGACAGTGAGCAGTTACAACAGAGGTGATTTAAATTGGAATTGCCACTGCCACGTAATTCAGGATGTGGAACTCCACTTTCTACCTGTTAGAAAGGGTGCTGGAGTAGCAAAGAAGACACCGTGATTTGGCACTGGAGACTTCCATTGGTGTGGCTGTTCCTCTAGGCCAGTGATTGCGAACCTATGGCACGCGTGCCACAGCTGGCACACAGAGCCCTTTCTGTGGGCATACAAGCCATAAGTTGCCGGATTGCTACTCCCCCCCTCCACAGCCAAACCTGAGAAGGTGGCTGCAGCCGTGATGCTGGCACTTCGGCAGGTGGATCTGGAGCAGCTGGCACTGGCGGCAGATCCAGAGTGGGGTCTCAAGGCCCCTCCGTGCCTGGGATTCCCCCTTCTGCTGGCACTTCACAGTGGATTCCCTGCTGCCTGCTGGTTGTTTTTTTTCCCCCAGTCTGGGCATGTGAGCCCTAAAAGGTTCACCGCCACTGCTCTTGATAAAGAAAAGTGGGAAATTATGGGTCAAGTGGTCTGTGTCCTCCAAAGCTTTGAGAGTGCATCAAAGGTTCTTAGTAGAAAGACAGCCATCCTTAGCCAGGTGATCCCAATGTTTCAAGGCTTAGTTGGCATGATGGACAAAATAATGAAGGAAGAGTCTAGCTCGATGGATCTCAACTGAGTGTTCTTGGACTACAGCTCCCAGAAATCCTAGCCAGCACAGCTGGTGGTGAAGGCTTGTGTGAATTGCAGTTCAAGAACACCTGGTTCACCCAAGGTTGGGAACCACTGATCTTGGTGGATAGGGGATTCCATAGAGGGAGAAGAGCATTTTTTTTCTCACCTGAAATGGTAGTTCTGGCCAGCAAAGTAAAGGACCTGCTTTACTACAGGTTGGCCTCCTCTTGGACCCCTGAATTAAACAATGGGCAATGAATATGAAGCAGCAAAGGGGAGGGGCAAATGCCAGCCAACTCTTCATCACATGCAGCAGAAGAAGCAGCTAGTGAGTAATGTCTGACTAGCACTGTGTGGGTCACACAGATAAGCATAGCACCAAACAGCAGTACCACCCCTCCAACAACAGGACAAGCTTTCTAAGACACTTTCTTGACATACATAGCAGGGAGCTGTCTTTTAGAGACACCCCCCCCCCCAGATGAAGGACATAGCAGAGGGAGAGCTGTGCAAGCCAAAGGACACAATCTCTTATCTTGCTGGGCTGAGAAGGCGTTTGTCCTGCCAAGGTGGCAGTGGAACTGCTGTCCTGCCCACCAACTAGTGTACTTAGTGAGAAAGTGTTCTTTCAGGCAGGGGACTTTGTTAGTTCACACCTCTCACACCTGGAATCTGGATCCCTAGAATAACTTATTTTTCTTCAGGTTAACCTACCAGGGCTTCCCTGAAGTCCTCTTTAAGTATGAGAGAATAGCACACTCTACTCACAATACTAGGTATGCAGGCTTTGGTCTGCTGCCCCCTCCTTCTTCATAATGATAAACTGCAATTAGTTAAGGAAAGAAGTGAAAGCTTAAAATCTTATTGTGGC